CCAGCCTCTTCTCCGTGGTGCCCAGCAACAGGACAAGAGGCAATGGACAGAAACTGAACCACAGGAAGTTCCACCTGAACCTGAGGAAAAACTTCTTCACTGTGAGGGTGACAGAGCACTGGAAGAGGTTTCCCGGAGAGGTAGTGGAGTCTCCTTCGCTGGAGATATTCAAAACCCGTCTGGATGTGATCCTGGGCAATATGCTCTAGGTGACCCTGCTTGAGCAGGGAGGTTGGACTAGCTGATCTCCAGAGGTCCCTTCCAACCTAAACGATTCTGTGATTCTGTGAAAAGATATGTTGAGAAGACTATCGTGTCATGGTTTACACCTGAACACTGGCATGGGACTGTCTGGAAAAGGAGGCAACAGCAACATCAAGGTAAGGAAAATGACTAGGAAACAGCTTAGCTTCTGCAGAGTCAGAAAATATTGGGAATGTTTAACAATGAGAGAAGACAGCAGGGAGTGCAAGGGGGATGAATAGAGCTGGGGTGATATGCTGGAGGAAAATGGGATATTTACTCATGATACAAGAACAACGCAACCTTCAAGTAAGTGATTTAAAGCACACATAGGCTGTGGAGGCTGGTGATGGATATGAGAGCTCCTGGCACCCTGACAAGTTGTGGAGCTGGTGGGAGGGCATGAGGTGTCCTTGCAGAGACAGCAGCAGAGAGACAGGAGCTTGGGCGCTTGACAGAATCACAGCATCTTGACAGAATCACAGCATTACAAAATGGTTGAGACTAGCGGGGACCCCAGGAGATCATCTAGTCCAACCTCACCTAGAGCAGGTTGTCCCCACTTTAGCCCCGTTGTGTTGATTATGTGTTCCCTTTTGTTCACGTCACCCCGGGGCCTTTTCTTGCCAACCTTGTCCATCTGTCCCTCATATGGGTGCTGGTAACTGTCTCCAGGTCAACCAGGTTGTTGGCAAAGATACTTTTGCCCCACCTAATGAGGTGGCTAGAGACGGGGGAGTTGAACAGAGAGCTGGCAGTGACAGAAGTCCAGGGTGCCTATGTCAGGGCAAAGAGCATTTTTAATAGCAAGAGGATGAAGTCTGTGAGGCAGTGGCACTAAGAACATATAAAAGATCTGCATGATTCAGAAAGGGGCTAACTTTCTGCATGGATACAGAGAACTTGATTTAAAAATAATCTGCTGGCTTTCTTTTGAATGTAAAGCAGCTGCTGATGATTCAGATTTTACCTGAAAATGCATGAGTCTATGTCTCTTCTCTCTGCTCTTTTTTGTGGCTTCTGTGGGAGCCACATTCTGATGGTGCTACATCATCTGGCTGCTTCTGGGGACAGAATGCTTGTTTGCTACTTCAGTGAATTTTGGTCACTTGGGAAGACTAGGCTGGAAGGAAATAAGGGGAAGATTTGATACTGATGTGTGTTCATAACTGTGGCTTGCTCTGTCTTGTGCATAAGAACAGGCCTTTGCAAACAGTTCTCTGTGGTAAAGCAGCTCACCTCTTCCAGCAATGAGAGGTTCCTGCAGACCTTGAAGACAGAGAGGTTGAAGCTGAAATTGTTGTGATGGGAGGCTTCTCTGCTGTGAGCTGGCTGGAGACTATCTGGAGAGGGCAAGGACCCTATCTCAGGGAGGCAGAAGGGTCTGTGGTAGTGGTGCTAGAATAAGGATCCAAGGTCTCTTCTCCTTGAGGCTATTTCCAGCAGCTTCTCACTGGAGAAACAGTATAACAGTGATCTTTCCTTGCTGGCAAGTGATTCAACTAAGCAGGGCAGGTGTGAGACCAGATGGTTTAGCAGGCTTTACTGCTGCTTTGCATGACTGATTTTGGACTGAGAGGTTGAGATTCAGGCAGTGATAAACCCTTCCTTTTGCCTGATTACTCTTCTGTTGCTCCCTTACGCTGGACTGGAGGAGCAGAACCTGTCTGTTTTTCATGGCCTAGCTAGACTTCGACTCTAAGTCTGTGATGAGGAATGGGTCTTTTTTCCAGAGAATCTTGTAGAGCTGCTCTTGGGCCTCAGAACCTTTTTTCTCAACTAGCTGCAGCAAAACTTTTTTCCTGTTTTGACTCATGCTTTGACTTTGTACCTCCTCTTCTTCATCACTGTTGATTATGTTTGCATCCCGTAAGTGTAGCAGAATAGGGGAGATCCTCCCCATCCTATGACAAAGCTCCATCTTGTGCTTCTTTATGAAGACTGCACCTAACAGACACCAAGCTTATGTTACTGTGCTGGACGTGTCAAGATTAGGCCCTAGGCCTAGGTTAGTGCAGTACTACTAAGGTCACAAGTTCACAGCACCCTAAACCAATTTACATGGGGGTTGCTTGCCCTGTCCCACAGCCACATGTTCCCATCCCCTCCCCTGCACCAGCAGTGGGCTCACGGGGCAGCAGGTAGATTCAGAGAGCTGAGCCAACAGAAGATAACCCTCCCAAAAAGGAAGGGTACCCTGCTGCTCTGGTGATATGAACACTAAGTCAGTGAGGATAGGAATGTGCAGCCAAAATTGAGGGAGGTCAGGCCATGGCAGTCCTGATTTCAATCAGCTTAAGCTGCTGGGGAACTATCCCCTCTATGATTTCTGCAGTGTATGGGAATGAAGTTACTGTCCGTTTCCTGCCACCCTCCAATATTAGAAACTCTTAACTCGGAGCACAAGTCACTGAAAACTATGAACTCACTCAGGATTGCAAGTGATTTGTAAAGAAGTTGTCCTTAGTAAAAGGCAGCTGCTAGCAGAGTACGGAACAAAGCTGGGGTTCAGTACCTCAGGCAGCATCTCCCAGCTTCTCCTTGCTAGCCTCCTCTCATTCCAAGAGAGACTGAAATGGGTGGCCACCAGTTCAGGCTGGACATCAGGAAAACAGCTCTGAGTGGTGTTATTTTGTAGGTACCTCTCCAGGGACAGCTGGAGGTGAGGCAGCACTGTCTGTAACCTGGATTCAGTCCTCTGCTCTGCCTGTGTCTCTGGTGTGAGTTTGGACAACGTTTTGGCAGCAGCTCCATGGTAGGATTTGGATGCCTGTGTTCAGCCTTCATGCTGCTTTATCTGCATGTGTCCAGCATGTTGGCCCTCCACACCCTGTTCAGCTGCTCCCTTCAGTTAGATCAGTCAAGTTCCCTAGAAGCTTTTCAGGTGTGCCTGGCCTACTGCAGTCTGGGCAGTGTTGTCAGCCAGCACTGCCTGTAGGACACTATAGGGCATTTGTCCCCAGAGCATAGCACCCAAACAGGCATCTCTGGGCACAGCCTTGCTCTCATCTTCCATCCTTTTCTCCTACAGCACTTAGGCAGGCTCTAGTTCAGTGTGGTGACTCCACGTGCATTACAAGGAGCTGAGAAGCCTCTGTCTAATAATGCTGACGTGTCCAAACCTGCATGTATCTAAGCCAGACCTTTCTGCCTCAACCTCTGTCAATAAAATACAGGAAACAGTTTGGAGGGTCACCTGCTATATGCCAGTTTACACACCAACATGGTACACAGCATGCTGGTACAAGTATGGGAACAAAAGTTGAGGTTGCAACTTTAAAGACTTTTTGTCCAGAAACTATCGTAAGGATGGGGAAGAGACTGCTGTGTCTGCTTTAAACTGGAGGATAATAAGTTCCAAAGAAACAGATTCAGACTCTAGTAATGCAGCTCTGAAAAACTGTACTGACCTGAAAGGGTCTGGGAGGCAGAGGTGGGAAGATTAATATCACCTGAAAGAGAAAGCAGAGAAATCACTGCATATCCCAGTATTTGAAATGGAGACTCTTGCTAAAAATCTTTCTTCAGTGCTTAGTCTTCCACTAAGCCATAAGTCATTATTTCCTACCCACAGAGATGTTCCTGCCATATATGGAGAAATGAGCAATAAAAGATCCTGGACTCTACATTTTTAGTCTTACTTCTGGGAGTAGATGAGCGTAACAGAGAATGGATCCTGAGCAATCACATTTCTTCAGGTACTTACACAGGAACGTCATCGCTACACACCTCAACTCTTCTGCTGTGTATTATTACACACAAACATGACTCTTAGCATGTGCTGTCTCTAACCCTGCCACTTCTGTCTCCGTTATGTAATGACCTGAAGAAAGATACTGTGTGACCCAAGTCAGTACAGTCACCTCTACAACAGACTTGTAAGCAGAATGTAAGCAGAACAGAATTGTAAGCAGATGCCACTAGAGAGCAGTGTCCACGCAAACAGCAGGCTTACTGTATGACGCATTCACAACACTGTGTTATGAGCACAGAGAAACAGGGGAAGGCAGGTCTGGTTCATCAACAGTCCACATTATCTACTCAGAAATCAACAACAGGCCCTTAGGGAGGGATATAGCCTACCTCCCTTCAATGGTTTAAAATGCCAGCAAAAGTAATCACATGAGATGGCCTCTGGAGTAGCCTATTGAGTCAGAGGTCTATCTCCACTGAGGCTTGGCTGCCTGCCTGCCTTCCTTTAGGGAAGATGGGTCTCACCCTGATCCTGCGCACTCAGGGTGGTGTTTCACACACTTGCGTTGCACCCAGCAAATCTAGAAAAGTATCTGAATACAGTATATGAAATATATATCTTTTAAGATGCTGATTTTCACTGAAATCTTGGTATTCCCCATATCTCCTCTGTACCATGGAATGGTTGCACTAGCGTGTATGTGGGTGTTGGTTATTTTAATGGACTTTTAAAAATAAGTCAGATGCATTTCTATGCAGCAGTAGACAGGGGAACAGAGAGACACCAATAGTGCTCTTCTGCTCTCTTAACCCCCAGCATTTGAAACTCCCCATTAAATCTGAAGCTCTAGTCTAATGAAACATGGGTTCCTTTCAGGCCCCTATTCCTCAATGGCCAGTTGCTACATACAGGGGGTTGGCCTTCCCTCCAGGAAGCATGAATGACTGTGACCACAGAATGCATAAGGTCTGCTTGGATGGTGCATCTCGCCTTTTTCTATGGCAAATAAGCCATAGAAGGGGGGTTGTGTGCCCCCTCACTGTGGAAGTAAGTGACAGACATGGCAATGTTAGTGCCCAGGATAGTTTCCAGATGTCAGTGGATTTTGAATCAGAATATCTGCACGTCTCGTTCTGCCCTCACAAGAAGTACAGCTCACTGCCCCATCTCCTTCCTACATATGGATGTACCATTCCTACCTGATCTCAGTGACGCCTTCCAGACCAGTGTGCCATCGCGTTCATTTGTAATAAGGAGCCAAATTTCCTCTGCCATATTCCTGATGTAGATCTCAATAAAGAGCTGCTGTTCCTTTGGACCCTTGTAGCAAAAAGGCAAGTATGGCTGTAAAGAAATAAAAACAAGGTGAGTCTCTCATCACACGGAACTGTAGTGAATTCACATAAGCTATCTCATGTTTACTGGCCATACTAGGAAGGGAAAAAACAAACGAAGATATAAAAGAAAGGGCTCTGCTGTGCTGTCGGTATGAGAAAGGTTGGAAGGGACCTCTGGAGTGTATCTGACCTCCTGCTCAAAGTAAGATCGTTGCCAAACTCTAGATCTACTCAGCCATAGCTGTGTCTAACCAAATATTGAAAACCTCAGAGAATGGAGATTGACCACCTCTCTTCTAACCCATTTGAGGGGATGCTGTTTGCATCACCACCTAGTGATAAAATGTTTCTAGTGTCCAGCCTGAACTTCCCAAGTTGCAATTTATGGCCATTGCCCCTTGTTAAATCACCTGACACTGCCAAGAAGAGTTTTGTTCTGTCATCTTTAAAACTGCTCTTCAAGACGAAGTGCCCAGTTATAATTTAGTCATCCCAGAAAGTGTCAAAGCCAATTCCTATTTAATGATTGATGGATTTAAGAATGTCTCCCCATTAAGCTGAAGGCCTTGGCTGTTGAGGGCTGTTCAGTAGCAGGTTATAGTTACACTGAGGCACGATCAATACACTGGAGGGTAGCGATGCCATTCAGAGGAGCCTTGAGAAGCTGGAGAAATGGGCTGGCAGGAAGCTTATGCAATTTGACAAAGGCAAATGCAGAGTCCTACATCTGGGATGGAATAACCCTATGCAATAGAACACGCTGAGCACTGCATGGATACAAAGCAGCTTTCCAGAAAAGGTCTTGAGAGTCTTCGTGAACAACTCCAAGTGGAACAGGGGTCAGCACTGTGTCCTGGCAGTAAAGGCGGCCAACCACATCCTGGGCTGTGTAAGTAAGAGCATAAACAGCAGAGTGAGGGAAGGGTTTCCTTCCCTCTTTTCAGCACATTTGGTCAGGGGTCCAGTTTGGGGCTACCCAGCACAAGAAAGACACGAACATCCTGGAGCAAGGTCAGGTCAGGGTTAGAGCACATGATATGCAAGGAGAGGTGGAGGGAACTGGGTTTGTTCAACCTGGAGAAGAGAAAGCTAAGGGGAGATCTAATCAGTGCCTTCAATTATATAAAGGGAGACTAAAGAAAAGATGGAGCCAGCCTCTTCTTGGAGGTGTACGGTGATGAAACAAGAGGCAACAGGCATAAATTGCAGCAAGAGAAATTCCAATTAGATAAAGGAAAAAAAAATCACAATGAGGGTGATACAACACTGGAACAGAAGCTCAGAGAGGCTGTGGAGTCTCCAACCTTGGTGATGTTCAACTTTGACTGGACATGGCTTTGAGCAAATAGATCTGACATCAGAGTTGGAATGCTTTAAGCAAGATGTTGGACCGGAGACTTCCTGAGGTCCCATCCAACCTAAATCATTGTGATTCTCATCATGATTATACTGCAGTACACACCCATGAAAGGAGAATGTTTTGGTAACCAGCCATGGACATGACATTGGACTGTCACCAGCTGCTCTCAGGAAATCACAAATTCCTATGCAAAAAAGTAACCACGTGGACCAAATGGCCAAATCTTCTATTTTTTTTCCAGTCATTATAATCTGATTGCCACAGGACATGGTGCTCAAAAACAGAATTCCTCGAGCTGAGTTCCCTCAAAGAAAGAAGTCATGTCCCATAATGGCAGCAGAAGTATGAGAGAAGGAGTCTCTGTAGTCCTGCTCCTATTCTGAAGTAAACCCACTGCAGACAAGATGAAGATGAAGGACTTGGGACCACACCAGAGCCAGTATCTCTGAAATTCTTTCTTGATAAGCAGCTACAATAAGTGTGACAAGTCCCACCGTTATGATTCCTGCCATAGAGAAAGAAAAACTGAGCCTTTATAACCTTGCCAGCGTGGCTTTGGGGTGGACTCCATGATCTATCTCATGCTGTTTATTGGGATGTGTATCATGAAATATCTTTGTCATTTGTAACCAGAATAGCTTTACTGCCTCTATGGCTCTGAAACCTAGTAAGACAGATTCTGGTAGCACAGCTGGAGACAGAGGCTCCTAATATTTTCAGTTTCATTGCAAAAAAGGAACAGTCCCACTTACTCCAGGTGTTATCACCACATGAGACGTACTGGACACTTGGTAACTGCAGCCAAAGAACAGAGGGTTGAGGGGAGGAGGCTTGGGAATAAGCTTTGAATTCCAGTTCATTTCTTGTTCTTCAATGGCCTGTAAATTTCAAGAATCACTTTTGAGAGAGACAAAAAAGAGGTATGAACTGTAGATAGCTCTTTGCTGCCATTTGAAAGTCAAGATTAAGAGACCGACCTAGTCAGAACATGCCACTGAATGTGTATTACAGGCAGTGCTGTATTTCAGGGGCCTGTCAGCTCCCTCACGATTACACTACTGCACATCAGCTGCTTCCAGGACCTAACCTGGAATACATACAAGGTAATTTAAGGTCACTCTGTGAAATCAGGTAAGGGCCTGCACAAAACAGGAGAATATCTGATACACAGCCACCTGTTACTGTACAGGGCAGCAGCTAGCAATTCCTAAATCTGCTCTGCTCCATGTTGCAGAGCAACCTGTGCAACAGCTTAGCTCCTACCAGGACATGCCCTCCCAGCCGAAAGCACAGAGTGATTTCTGGAGGTATGTATGAAAGAGGAGAGTGGAGGAGGCAGGAGCAAGAATGGTGTCCTGGGGTGGGAGCTGATTGCTTGGCGTATAGGGATACAAGATTGCATGTGCTTAGAGTCTGGTGGCATTGTGGACCATGGAATTGGCATCTTGCCTTTGAGAGGGTTGGGGAGGCAGGGACAAGGGGTTGGGCTGATGGCTTAAAGGTGATGGAGACAGAGAAATACCATGTTGAAGCCTTGTTGGATGTGTGGGTCATAGGAGTGGGTTGGGGGAGATAATCTGGCTTGGAGTTGGAGGATTCAAGGGGCAGGCATCTAGAGTGGGGAACGGTGGTAGATATTCTCTTTTTAGAATAATTTAGGGCCCTACATCTAAATCAAGGCTGGCTCCACACTGCCTAGTACTGGCCATAGACCTCTTCCCAGTGGGTCATGTCTGAACCATTTCAGAGCTGCTAATCTGCAATCCAAGAAAGCAAAGAGCATGGTGTAGATGTGACCCCTGTGGGCTACAAGTGTTCCCATTAGCTATAAAATTTGCTAAAGATTTTCACTCTGTGAATTAAATAGTCCAGTTTAAAGGAGCAGGGACCTTGGCTCTTGCACAATGTCTGCTGGTACAGATCTGTGTTTGTCTCTAACAGGCAGCTGAGTTCACGTGAGAAGAGGAATTGAGAGGATAAAACATAGGTTGTTAATGCTTTGAGTTCTGTTCCATGCTCTTTCTCAGATATGCAGTACAATCTCTCAGTTGTGAAAATAAGGAAATGATATGTAATTGCTTTCTTTGGGGTTTGGGGCATGAACCTTGGCCAGCAGTGAGACTTTGAGGGGCACAGAAATTTTAACTACTTAATAGAGGCAAGACCAGCTTCCATCTCACCTTAGTGCCCTTGCCTTAGGCCAATAAGCATTAGTGTAGATTGTGTTCTCCCTGCTCTAACAGGTGAGTCAGGGGAGCCAAGAGGATTTGCAGTGCTGTGTATGGGAGCACACTAAGTCCGTATCCAAGCTAAGTTATAGTTAAGTTTCATTAAGTTATTCTAAGGAAAGACACTATAACGCTATCCTTTGACAAGAAGTTCCAAACAGAAAGGTGGTGACTACGGAATAAAAGGAAGGATTGAGCAGGAAAGGTCAGTCCCCTCTGTTTGTCAGTTCTCAAGAAGACAGCACACATCTATGTAACACATCTGTCTTCCTTGCTGTAGCATTAACAGGCTCTCCTGTGGAGGGTCATTCTTGGGAGACCTCTGTCCCTCTGTCAAATCTGGCCGGAATGGAACCATGGGCTCAGGGGGAGGACAGACGGATGTCCAGACAGAGAGACAATGCAGTTACCTAAGCCTTGTGTTGACAGAAAAATAGGCAAAAAAAATCACACAGGCATTTGGTCTTTTGTACTTGCTCAGTGGTTGGCACATTGCCTTCCCCCATTCCCTTGCTGACTGACACTGCAGTGCCAGCTCTTCCCTGCTATGCTGGCCTGATCAGGTAGGATCTGCGTTCCTCCTCTAATGGTCTTGCTCTGCCTCAGACTGCCTGATGCCTGGAGCAGGTTATACCTGTTTGTGCTGAACATAAGAACAAAACTAGGAGGGATCCCTGCTTATCCAATCCAGTCCCTGCTACTGCAGCCACTCCAAATGTCATCCTTTTTGTAAACCAGTCAAATTCCCTCCATCTTACCTGCTTCACAGAGTTGTCATCTGGGATCAGGTAGAGGTGAAGAGTTGTATTTGCAGCACTGAGCTGCTGAAAGATCAGCACCAAGGAGTGCATGGGGAGCGAATATAAGGTTGAACGTAACTTTCGCCAAAGCACCCCAAGCAGTGAGAAGCTGGGATTTTCCAGGACAGCACAGAAAGCATTCAGTTTTGTTGGTTTCTCTAGGGTCATCTTCCCAGATTTAAAGTGGGCAATTCTGCACAGGCTGACATCTACACCTCCTGCAAGAGAGGAAAGGCAACAAGGTTCTGTTTTGTCTTCCTAATGCCCTACTAGGTTACTTCTTTCTCTTTAAGGCTTTAGCAGCAGAAGGAAGACATATTCCCATACAAAATGACATGGTCTGCTTTAGGGGCTATCGTGTGTCCTGGGCTTTCTGGCTTCTGCCCCGCAGGGAATTGAGGGCTTTTGGCAAATTCACTTTGGGTTCAGAAAACTGCAAATCCAAGATGGGAACTTGGGACCATGAAAATCCTCAGACTGAAACCATGCAGTCCAGTATCCTGTGTACCCCTGTTGCACCACCGAATACTGGGAGGAAGACTGTTACTGCATTATGAGTCATCCTAGGTTTTGATTACCAGAGCAGCCTAAACTTTATGGTGACATTCCTAGCAAACTTCTTGCACTGCAGTGATGAGATAGAGAGCTCTGCTGCTGCTCAGTCACCCTGCTTCTGTCTCTTTGAAGTTAACCTGACAGATAAATATAAAACTTGACAGATTAATATAATTACATGATTTTGCTTCGTACAGCTATGTCAATGAAGAATGCATAGACCCACTGTGCTTGCCAGGTCCTGGGCAGGAAGTGGAGCCACGCAGCAAGCAGTTACTTTTATGACGTGCTCTGTTTCAGCTGAGAAGAGGACACAGGTTTGCCAGGAAGAAACTCCCTCTGCCAGTACACACTGCGGCCTGTGATAGGGCCCTGCAGCACAGGTAGGCCAGACCAGGATGGCTCTACTCTGTTGTGCAGTCCAGCCTCAGGTTAGCACTACTTGCAGTGACACTCCTCCTTCTGGGCTTATTAACAAGGCATTGCAGAACAGAGGATCCAGGTTCAAGCCTTTTGGCTCCTCATGTTCAATGTTCGCCAGGGTGAATATTGACAATTTAATTCTACTTACTGTTCTGTCCAGACCAGTTCTGTTCTATTGCAATTGCGCACCTCACACTGAGAGAGTCCAATGTGTGGACTGAAGAAGGTGACTAGCTCTTGTCACAGTGGAGGAGAGCAAGGATGATAGTTGCCCTTGGCCATCTACTGCTGTAAAAGGCACAAAGGACTGAGAAAGTCTGTAAGAGGGACTCAGAGGCTTGACCTGCAGCTGAGCTGGGGTAATTCCTGTGGGTTATCACAGCAGCTAGGAGAAGAGGGGGAAGCACTGAGGAGAGGATGGGAGAAAGGACAGGAGCGAAAGGAAATAGGGAGCAGAAACAAAAGATGCGAGAACAAAGCAGGAGCTGGGCCTGCGGTGCCAGGAAAGGAACCACTGCAAAGGTTTAAAAAAAAGTGAGTGAAGATTAACAAAAGGATGAGGAACAGCAAAGCAAAATTGGGGAATACAAGGGAGCACAGAACGTTTCTCAAAGAAGAATTTGGTCCTAAACCTGCCTGGAGAGGTCCTAGGGCATCTCCCTGAGGAGTCATCTTTCTATATCACTGCACTGTATCCACAAGCAGGCAGGCCCCTTTCAGAGCAGATGCTGGAGGAGTCAGATGGGAGAGGGGACAGGAGAGCTGCAGAAGACCTGAGAGAAGCTAGTCTAGAATTGCCATGCCTGAGAGGAATGGAGTGAATTGAAGGAAGTGCATCCCCACAGCTGCTCTACCTGCCAGGCACACAAAGTGGGGGAGATACACAGCACCCACAGCACCCACAGCTCCAGGCTGCACCATGATACAGAACAAGGGTCCAGCAACCACCCATTCCTCCTGGGCAGCTGCACTCAGATGGCTGTTCCAGGAGGCATATCTGTACTGGATGGACACTGCTGACTTCGCCTCAAAGCCAAGGCCTGTCACAGAGCACTGGAATGAGCCTGCTCCAGGAAGGTGAACTCTGCAAACAGGAGAGGAGAACAGCGTTATGCCATGTGTGACTAGGGCTGTAGGAAGGTGTTTCCGCTTTGCCCAAGAGCTCCTACCTGTAATAGCTTTGGTCCTTTGGAAAGTTTTGGATGATCTCCGGTGTCACTTCTGGAAGGGCCTGTAACACAAGTGATGCTAGTTTGGGATTGAATGGCATGTTCCCTATTGGATGTTTCTTATAGGAGGGAGTGCTGGGAAATTTCAAAGTGTGATGCAGCTTGGCTCATGGGCTCGGAACCTCACAAGCAGCAGCAGCAGGAGCAACAGTACCTCTGCCATAGCGAAATTATTTCTCTGCCTCTTTTCACTATCCAGAACAGACTCCATGTCAGGTATGCCATATTGTTTTACCTCTTCAAAACAAGGGAATATAGAAGCTTCTATCTGGTGCCCAGAAAGGCATCACCCTTTTCAATGAAGAGGTTGCAAAAATCATTGACTAGCAACTTATCTCCCCTATGATCTCAAACCAGCACTGGGCATGTCTGAGGCACATAGGCCATGTGCTAACGTACGGGCTCCTGAGTCCTTTAAAGGGGATACCCATTGCTGTGGGGAGGACTAAACACTGCTGTCAGCAGCAGAACATGCCAGGGGATGGGAAGAAACCAATTTTTCCCCCATGCATCAGTAGGAAGGATAACAAAAGGTTTTGCAAAGCAGTTCCTAGAGCCCCACAACTACCTTTACACAGATTTTTAAGTTGTGCTTTGCAAACAAGGGAATTCCAGACAGCATACTCTTTTTTCCCGAGAGAAAAAAATTTTTTGGCTGCTGTCTTTCTCATGAGTGAATGCTAGGCTATTCCTTCTCTGCCACAGTTTATCAGCAGAGATAAAACAATGGGCATAGACAGCCAAAATATTTAGCAGAGAAAACGAGTTCTGAATGTGAGTGAGTGGAAATTGTCTTTCAATGAACTTGAAAACTAGGGCAATGCATGCTGAGTTAGCATAACAAAAGCAATTGGACACTTCTTGAGGCTGAAGAATTATGGTGAATAACAGGTTGTGAAGGTATATTCAACTTCCCACATTACCGTTGAGGTCAGTCTCCGTCTTACTGCTGTGCCACTTTCTCTGAGTGAGACAGTGCCTTGCAAGGAATGGTAAAGCCAGCGCATACAGCATGGCTGTGGCTGGAGAGCCCTTACCTCCCTCACACAGCACAGGAAGCTTTGCTTTGGTGAAGAGTCCAGCTGCAGCTCGCTCTTGCTTTTCTAGAGAGGGGTACATAGTGGAAACCACTTTTAAGGAGGCACAAGATAAGGCTTTCTGACAACATCAGCAACATCACCAACATCATGCATAGTGCTGACACTGACAGCTATTCCTCCAGTGAGGGAACAGGCTAGTGTTAAGGAGTTGTGCCAGTCTGGTCTGTCCTCAGGGTCAGGTCCTTTTACCAGCATTGAGGGCAGACTGGATCAGCTCCTCCCACCAAACACAGTGCTGTGGTAGCAATGGGCAGTGAGGAACCTGCCGCACAAGGGCTCCCATGGCATGGCCCAGAGTGCTACAGTCATGCTGGCCTCCTCCCCAGCCCCAGGGTCCTCCTCATTAGGGTCCCCAGCCTCATTTCTTGCAACACCTCACCTCTGCTTTCCCTGAGGCTTTATCTGTCAGAGATCCAGGAAGGGTTAACAGGCATTCTTCTTGTATTCCTGAGACTGGAACAAGGGGAAGATCATTGCAATTTGTGGCCCATGTTCTGGAGAAGAACCTATCACAGAACAGGCTTCACCTAACCTTCCCTATCCCATTAGCAGTACTGGTCTCCACTCATAACACCACATGCTCCTACATTTACCACAGCATCCACAACCTTCTCGTGGACCGCGGCACTGACACCCTTGCCACCTTGCAGCATACTGGGGTCCCTGCAAGGACAGTCCTCCTGTTCCAGCCCCACTGCACCAGATTGCCAGCCTCAGCCCTGAAAGCAAGGACCGGGACGTGTTCTTACCTGAATAAACACCACTTTCAGGGAAAGCCAAACTACCACCACCACGCACTGCAACAATAACACAAGGCAGAGGAGAACTCAGGGCCCAGGGCATGCCAAGAGAAGTGTTCCCCCCACATCATTTCCCATTCTGCCCTTCCTGTCCCTGCTCTTCACCCCTTTGCTATGAAGCCTCTTTCTGTGTGTTTTGTCCCACTCACAGGAGCTGCTGGGTGCCAAGCATCTGTCCTGGCCTATCAATTAGCTATTCTTCACAAGAGAGCAGCTCACTGCAGGGCTGACCTGTTCCCAGCCTCTGCCTCTCCTCCCCCAAAGTGTGTGCATGCTCTCTGCCATGCAGAAAGTGGATTTCTTGCTTAGCTTCCAGAAACAGAGTCCTTCCCAGTCTTTCCTGTGGCCTACACCCATCCCTGGTCCCTGTCCTTCCTTCTCACTTCCACTGCACACAGGCTGTGGCAGTTCTCTTCCGCAAAAGGGCATCCGTCTGGGTCCATCTTGTCCCTCCCCTCTGCAGCCTGTGCAGCCTTGCCCCTCCCTACTGCTACATGCTCACTTGGAAGCCTCCCTGCTTGCTTCCCTGGTGCGTCTGCCTCCTTGAGAGAGATCTGGGTCTGCTTCCAGCCTTTCTCACTCCTGTGCTCCCACCTCCAGGCAGACACTTGCCCACTTCCCCCAGTACTGCCCCATACTTACCTCTTAAAATTTGAAATATAGTGCAGTTGGGAGTTATTCCATAGTCCCGCAGACTCCTTTCATCCTCCATCTGTCTGCCTTCATAAATCAGCCTTATCTCCTCAGGAGCAAATGACAGCCTAGCCTTTAGCACTTTTACTGTGTCATCCAAACATACATGCACAGGAATATCAGTACCATGCAAAGTCCTAACTTGGACGATGAAGGTAGACTGCTGGTGCTCCATGGTGCCTGCTACAGTCTTCTGAGAAAACCTGTTGCTCGTGGTGCCCAGTGCGCGTAAAGCAGCCCCAACAAAGCAAGGGGCAGCCCTTTGGAGCAGGCAGGCCCTGCGTGCTGCTGGCTCTTCTGGGCCTTTGTCCACAATACTCTAGTCTCTGTCACTTACCAAGAAACTGAAAGCACCAGATGACGTCACGAATGCTGCAATGCTGCACTGTTTTACAGCTCTCTGGTGTGAGCACACAAGCTCTAGGCTCTGGGCCTGCCCCGCAGGGCCCAGCTCCACCTCCCAGCCCACCAGGCCCTCATCTGCGCATTCCTTCTCCCCACAGCCCCTTTCCTGCACCCAGCTTTTTCCCCTGAGCTACCCCATTTGCCCAAGGCCTCTGTCTGCAGTGATCCTACTGTGGCCTACAGGGATTTGCCACATCTTTCTTTCTTCAGCCTCCTCCAAACCTCTCCTCTTTCTTTCTCCCTTCTCATTAACTTCCTTTCCCCCTTCCTCCCACTCTCCTTCTTTTAACCCTTCTTAGTTGCAGTTGTTTTCCCCCACTCCCCTCCTCTTCCCAGGTTTTTTCTCTTGAGGAGGGCAAGGGAAAGGCAGGATAGGGCTGTGCAGGGAAGGGCAAGGCTATTTTCCCAAGAACATGGGGCAGCAGAGGCTTGCATCCAGCATCTACAGTGCTCTTTATGGCATTTCCTAAGAGCCCCATGAGAGCATCCCACACCATAACACTGGATGCTGCGCCAGTTTTGCTGTGACACACTTGCCACGGGCTGGAGAAGTGTGAGAGGGGACTGCTGCACTTCAGCCAGTCAGTGAGCTCAAATAAGGGCCATGGTCCATCCAGCTCCTGCCTAAATGTGGGACGGGAGACCATTCAGAGACAAGATCTGACTGATTGTCTTAGCTCACAGCTCACAGCTCACATCCAGTCCTGTCCATCCTATCCATCCCACACCATCCTCCTGCCACAGACAGGCTGCTCACTCCAGGAAGGATTTCCTCCTGGCTATGTATCAGGAGCTGTGGAAGGAGCTTGCCTGGTGCTGTCCCCCTTTCCAGGCCTCATCCCAGCTCTGATATGTGTATGTCCCAGCCCCAGGGACAGCTTCGTGGCATGCTTGCCTGCCTGCCTGTGGCCAGCAGCCTGGTGATACTGTTGGGGAGGCCTGGCAGGCCCTTTGCTTGCTGCTCTGCCCTGAGCACTCAGGGCAAAGAGCTGTGAGACACTGCTACCCTGCAGAGGCTGGGCACACAGCATGCCCCAAACCAGCCTGGGCCCGCATAGGGGCCTGCAAGTGCTGCAATGTCAAGGGAGTGGTCCCCTCCAGCTCCAAGTCCTGGCAGTCTTGCCATATGCAGAGGGCATCTTGCCTGCTGAAGGAGAAGCTCGATAAAGGAGAAGAGGAATCCCATGCCCATCAGCCAGCCAAGGAGCTGTGCCTCCCCTCGTGGAGTGCACATGGTAGGCATTCAGCCTGGGAGAGGATGGGGGAGTTCTGTGGGGCACAGCCCTGGGGAAAGCAGGCCTGGAGGTGTCAGTGGGTCCCCTGTGGGCCAAAGAGGCCTGATCCCTGATGGCCAACGCTTGGATAGGAGGTGGCCAGTCACCAGCCTGGAGCTGGCAAATGGGTGTTTATGGGGCTGGAGGTGTGAATGTGCAGTTCCTCTGCCAAAGACTTCCCAGACTATCCCAAGGCGCCAGAGTTATGGGATCACCCCAATGGCTTCCCTACCTCTCATGCAGCTCAGCCCTTGCCCACCACATCCCTACTCTGCCTTTCCTGTGAGCCCAGCCTCCCACTCTGGCCCCAGGCCCCCTGTGTGCCCCTGGGCTGGAGGAGCACATGGCACTGTGCCTGCCCCAGGGCTGCGGGAGGAACCAGCCCAGCCCCTTGTCCTGAAGTTCTGCCATGCGCATGGCACAGTAGCATGGGGGGCACAGTTAATTCTGGGGCGATGGGAGGTATGCAGCTGCTTTATCTTTGTCTTACTGCCCTGCAGGTTCTCTTCCTGTTCCCTGGGTCTCTGTAAAACTAGCCCCGACCCCCACAAAACAGGGCACAGAGCTGAGAGTAGCCAGCATGGTGGGATAAGCTGCCCAGCGTTAGCCAAGCCTTGTCAACTCTGCAGGCAGAGGCACCAGCATCAGAGCACACCTTCAGGCCCTGTCCCACAGCATCCTCCATCCCCACTAGAAGCCCACAGAGCATGGGGGTTGAGCCCTTTGCAACTTACTCCAACCCTCCAGAGTGCCCAGCAGTGGCTCAGAAGCCAGGCAGGTGGCAAGGCAGGAAGGGCAAGACATGGCTGGGACAGATGGGGAATAGGGGGACATTTCATTCCCTATTGGAACAGTGACTGGCCCTGTGGTCTGGGCTAGTGCAGTTCCTAGGATGGTGGCATCTCTTCCCAGAAGAGCTCCCCGGTATCCCCATGGCATGGCCACACTGCTGTGACTATTGATGGGAAGGCGAAGGGTTGTTCTGATTTGAGGCCCCAGTACTCAAGATACTGTGTAGCTTCACACAGTAGGGGTGTGAAGCTCCTAGCTTCACTAGGGGTGCTCCAGTGAGGGACTGCCTGTGCTCCCCAGGCCTCCTTATTGTCAGCTGTGAGTGATGTACCAGGCAACAGTGCGTGAGAGCTGGAACAAACTATGGGCATGTGAGAGCAGGAAAAGGCATGGCACTGAAACAACTGAGCACTCAGAGCTGCTAGCTACACCACTCAAAGCTGTTTGCTAAGGGTTGTAAGGATGCAAACAGCTTTGTCCCCAAAGAGGCGGCCCTGCTGGGAGAGCAGATGGCCTTCCCCAGCCCATGTTATTTGGGAGAGCAGATTGGATAACTGAATGGCTCCCCTGACCTTGGCATCTATGAAACTATACGCACCAATGCATAGCCACTGTGGCATTGCAGGTCTGCCCTGACCAGAGTAAACCTCTGATGCCACACACAGGAATGACATCAGAGCATCTGAGTCAGCACCTGGAGCCCAGCACTGTCCCTCCAGCTCTGAGAACAGCACATGGAGACAGAGGCAGGGGACCAGGAGCCAGTGTGGCATGCATGGGCAAGGTACTGCTACTTTTCCTGGCCCCAGCACAAGTAGGTCAGTCTGATGAACGCAGAGAAAAGTGAAACCAGAGTCAAAAGGAGGAGGCTGAAGTCCACCCTGAGGCCTGGGACACAGGCAGAGAGCACAGTAGGAGTTAGGCATTCATACAACCGGACAGCCACCTATGGGACTTGGGCCCTTTTCTCTGCCTGTACTGCTGTGGCTCAGAATGAGCACCAGCCTTGGGGCCAGCTAAATGCCATCAGCTGAGCCTTACTGCCCCAAAGCCCTCCTCTCAACATCAGAAAGCAGCTCTGCAGTATTTATCTAGGACTCACAGCTTGTGCTCAGGGCCTGCAAGCAGGCTGGCAGATCCTTCCTGTGACCTGGAGAAAAAGGTGGAGGGCAGCCAGGGTGGAGGGCCTATGGGGTGTTGCACTGCTTGACTCCAAGCATGAGCATCTCCTGCAGCAAGTCACACCTCTGCATAAAGGAAACCTGGAGAATCCATTCAGAAGGCAAAGGTGGGGCTTGGAGCGGTAGATTAGTCTGGTACTATGCCCACATGGATGGCAGATGCACAGCTCTTAGCTAGGCATGCCCTGCCATGTTGGCCAGTTGTTGTGGCTGCAGTGCTGTCGGTGCCTGTGCAGGTGCCTGTGTGCATCTTGCTTTGCTCATGCAAGTGCTCCAGGGCTAGCTGCTGACTGAGTAGCTGGATTAGGAGCTCAGCATGGGCTCCCAGCCTGCTAGGCACTTGCTGCAGTCTGCAGGGAGTTTTGCAGTCTGCTCAGTGCTGTGGGCATTTGTGGCTGCTGTGCTGGCACTGGCAGGACAATACAGCCTAGGTGGATGATGCTGCTTACAGCCAGCCTGCCATTGCAGGTATCCTGGCCTTGGGGGCTGAAAGCAGTATAGCTATGAGGTTTGGCAACCTCAGAGACTGCAGGCTGCCCACACGTCCTGCCATGGTGCTTCCCTGCCAGAGCTGAGTCACCTCATCCCAAGGACTGGAGAGCAGCAGGGGCAGCGTAGCCATGAGGTGCTGTTGGTATCTTGCCAACCTTCCTATGGGACAGTTTGGTCATCTTTGCATGGCACAGCATGGAACATGGCTATGGAGGATCCTCTTGCACCTCTCCTGAGAAGCTTGCATGCTTGATTGGTTCTCTGAAATGCCTATACACCAATGCACGCAGCATGGGGAATAAACAGGAAGAATTAGAGATCTGGGTGCAGTCACAGGGCTATGATCTCATTGCAGTTACAGAGACATGGTGGGATAGCTCGCATGACTGGAATGCTGCCATGGATGGCTATGTGCTTTTCAGGAAAGACAGGCCAGGAAGGCAAGGTGGTGAAGTTGCTCTTAATGTGAGAGAGCAACTGGACTGTATGGAGTTCTGCCTAGGGGTGGATGAAGAGCAAGGTGAGAGCTTATGGGTAAGGATTAAAGGGCAGGCTAACATGGGTGACACTGTTGTGGGTGTTTGCTACAGGCCACCTGATCAGGAAGAGGAAGTACATGAAGCCTTCTACAGACAGCTGGAAGTAGCCTCACGATCACAGGCCCTGGTTCTCAGGGGGGACTCCAACCACCCTGATATCTGCTGGAGGAACAACACAGCAAGGCACAAGCAATCCAGGAGGTTTCTGCAGAGCATTGATTGATGATAACTTTTTGGCACAGGTGATGGAGGAGCCAGTGAGGAGAGCTGTGCTAAGGAAGGTCTGGTTGGAGATGTGAAGGTTGGGGGCAGCCTTGGCTGCAGTGACCATGAGATGGTGGAGTTCAGGATCCTGCAAGGAGGGAGCAGGGCAATGAGTAGGATTGCAACCCTGGACTTGAGGAGAGCTAACTTTGGCCTCTTCAGGGACCTTCTTGGAAGAATCCCATGGGTTCTGGTCCTAGAATGAAGAGGGATCCAGGAGAGCTGGTTAATATTCAAGCATCACTTCTTCCAAGCTCAAGATCAGTGCATCTCTATGAGTAAGAAGTCAAACAAAGCAGGCAGGAGACCTGCCTGGATGAGCAAGGAGCTCCTGGCAAAAC